TCTACTTCTACTTCTACTTCTACTTCTACTTCTACTTCTACTTCTACTGCTACTTCTACTTCTACTTCTACTTCTACTTCTACTTCTACTTCTACTTCTACTTCTACTTCTACTTCTACTTCTACGACAACCACGACGACGACGGCTACTACTACTACCATCGCCGCCGGCACTACTTCTCCTACTCCTACTCTTACTCCTGCTGCTGCTGGTGCTGCTGCTGCTGCTGCCGCCCGAATCCCTGGACACCTTCCTCCCCCTGGCTCGGTGCCTGCTCTTGGTCCGCTTTGGCTTGAGCCTCGCTGGCTGAGCCCATTTAAAGCCCATGCTAGTTTTGGCCTTCGAGACTCTACGCTGAACCGAAGGTTGGAGAAAGGCTTTATGGACTTTATGGGTTTCTACCGGGATTTGGAGTTGCTTTTGGGGACCTCTTTTCCTTCAGCCATCCGCGCCTGGAATATTTGGAGTTTAGGATTTAACACTTCCAATCACCACTCCAACACCGCTTTTCTGTAGAATCGCGCGCTTACAGCGCGTTGATTAGACACTAAAACCCCTAAAACCTAAACCCTTAAACCCAAAACCCTCAGCTCGAGACCCCTCCTGGCCATTCCTTGCTACAGGGGCTTTCGGGAGTCTGCCCAGAGGGCTCAATATACCTTAAATAATAATATTAGGGCCCCTACAATTTACGGTATATTCCTTTATTTAAGGAGTATTGGGCTCTGTGGGTAACACACTGACCCCCAACGCATCAACCGCATCGTGGCAACACGCTGTCTAGCGAATGACTATGCATCTTAGGCTGTAGGGTTATCCGCGCTGTTCTTGCTCCTTTTACCATTCCTGACTACCGGCAATATGTCATGTGCCGATTTTTTTACAAATGGGGCTCCATATCTCGTAAAGTAATAACGGTATGGAAAACATCGGTATCCGCCCAACCCTGCAAATCAGGTGCCTGAAGCCTAGTTACTACCGTCTTGGATCCTCTAAGGCAAAGGGGGATCAATCTTTTTCAATCCACATAAAACCGAAGAACCCTTACAAGAACATCTGCGAAACCTTATAACTTATAACCGTGTCAGAACCGTAATTACTTAGCCCCCCCCCCCTCACAGAAAAAAGCAATCAAGCGAAACTACAAAAATCCTAAGCCCGTGAAGCAACCCAGGGATTTAATTTAAGTTACCATAATAAAGAAACATTATTATTTACTATAGATCCCCATTATGGTAACTTAAATACAACTCTGTAACAAGAACCCAGCCTAAACCTTTCAAGGAACCCTAAACCCTAAAACCTAAACCCTAAGCCCTAAACCCTAAACCCTAAACCCCTAAACCCTAAACCCTTCAAGGAACCCTAAAAGCGGGCGCTGAGGCCGAGGCAGGCGCGGCCGCCGAGGAGGCCGGCGATGCTGAGGGCGAAACCGAGGCGCTGGCCGAGGCACCTGGGGGGGGTTCAAGCCTTAGGGTTTAGGGCTTAGGGCTTTGGGTTTATTTTTTTTAAGTGTAGTGGTCCAGGTTTAGGGTTTAGGGTTTCGGGTTTAGGGTTTTAGACGTTCGGGTTTCGGGTTGAGGCTTTCTGCTTTAGGGCTTAAGGCTTAGGATTTAGGGTTTAGGGTTTAGGTTCGTGTACTTCGGGGCTTAGGGTTCAGTCTTTGGGACCTTACGGGTTTTCCGGGTGGGCTTAAAGGGGGTTGAGGGGGTTTAGAGGGGAGTTCTGTTTTGGGGTGGCATCAATGCTTGTGGGCTCTGGGGCCGCAGTATTTGGTGGCGCCAATGCTGTTGATAGTGACGGCGATGGCGACGGCTACTGCGCGGATGATGTGGATTCTGATGATGATGATGATGATGCTGATGATGATGATGATGATTATGAAGATGATGATGATGATGATGATGAGGATGAGGATGGTGATGATGATGATGATGATGACGATGACTGCCTCGGCCGAAGTGGAAACGAAAGGGAGCATGACAAGCTGACTCTTGCTTTTTAACCGGGCCGCTCTTCGGACGTGTGCTTTGTTCGCGTTGGCCACGCGTGTCAGTGGACAGGTCTGAAGCTAAAAATATAGGGGCCGTAATAGCTAGAACAGGAATGCTAAAAAATGAGGAAAGCCCCTGTATCATCCGCTCGACCTATCGAAAACAACCCGGGCATCACATCTTGCAACTGTGCCTGCCATCCCAAGTAGATGGGCCTTTACCTGTACAATGCGGTCCCGGCAGTCGGCCGCATGGCTTGACGTTTGTGTCAAACCATGATCTGCTCGACCGGATTGCCTGCGATGCAGGATAGGTCCATGCAATACCTCGGCCCGGCGCTGTCGGGCAAGTAGCTTCCCAAATGCGTGCCGCAAGAGGAATAAACGAAGCCATTCTTGTCAACCGACACATGCTCAGAGAACACCTCCTCCTTACGAAACGAAGGCCAGCCATGCTCATCTGTGTCGGCCTTGAAATCGGCCATGCTCCTGGCGGTCGGAAAAAATGGGTAATCATGTCCCCTTACAGTCACAGTCCCTGTTATAATCGTACCATACAATATGGACCCCCACAAACACCCTATTCTAACTACCAAGGCCCCGTAGATTACAGCAGTGAGCTGCGAGTTTGCAACCCGAGTCCTGTTCACCGGTGCCTGGGCGCGCAGTCACAGGCAGGCGCACTCAGGAGCATACTGCCCATGGCCTACACCCCAAACCCAACACCCTGAGCCCTGAACCCTCCTGAAACACATTCGCAGGATCGTGCTCTACCCCAACAGTTCGTCATCGAAGCCTCACCCCTTGGCCCGCCTTGAAGAGAGGGACTCCGCAGGCCGAGTCGTAGAAGGTCGTGGTTCCCGAGATCTTGTCGAAGAGGGCGATGTCGGGGGCTTGGTACAGGAATTGAGGCTCCGCATAGACCTGGAGATATCCGAAAGAGACTTGTTAGGGTTTAGGGTTTAGGTTCACAAAGGAGAGCACAAGAAGCTCAGACGGACCGAACTCCGTTGTAGAAAACCGCCAGGACCCGAGTTTTGAGGGACCTGTGGCCACAGAACCCTGCATTGAGTCTCTGAAGTCCTACACCCCAAGCCTCCCATGAACCCCAAACCCGGCTTGATGGACCAGGAGACAACTAGAGTTACTCTACTTGTGACCCTACTTGCTACGTTCCCTGATTCCGTCAAGTGCAGACACTCCCCCGAAATAAGGAAGACTTTAGAAACCAGTAAAAAAACCTGTTGAAAGATCCATAGCAATTTTTGGAAAGCCTGTATAGAAAGCCCCTAGGAACAACGAACGGTGAGAAGCAAAAAAATCCGCTGCACCCCGGGGCCTTCGTGCGGTTGTCGCAGCAGATGGCTTCTGCTAGGCTCTCCGACGGGTCCTCAGAGCTTTCGGGCCTTTTCGGGTCCGAGGATCCCATTTAAGGGCTCCTTGAAAAGTTCAGGTTAAAGCTTGCGTTTCGGGTTTAGGGCTTAGGGCTTAGGGTTTAGGGTTTAGGGTTTAGGGTTTAGGGTTTAGGAGGAGTTTAGACGTTACAGTATTGGAGCTTTAGGCTCTTAGGGCTTCAGGGCGTCAGGGTTCTCCATGTTGGGCTTTACCCAGAGAGCCCAATACCTCTTAAATCAGGAAATATACCTTAAATTATAGGGGCCCTAATATTATGATTTAAGGTATGTTGCTTAATTAAGGGGTATTGGGCTCTCTGGGTAAGGCTCCAGGGGCTTCGGGGTTTTGGGGCCCAGGATGCTGGGGCTGGGTGTTTAGGGCTTCAGGGCTTCAGGGCCCCTAGGGGCCGACTTTGACACTCTGTACCTTAAGTAGTTGCCCGAAGATTCCTGGAGCTTTCTATCGGGTTTGCAGGGGTTTAGAAGGGCTTGAATGTGGGGTTTAGGGTTTAGGGTGTGCACGCAGTGCGTGCGTGCCGTTTACTTTAGGAAAAGGGGCGCCGCCGCTTATCGCGCTTGCGGTCCCGCCCCAACCACCCCAACTATTCTCAATTAGGGTTTAGGGCTCACACCCCAGTTCTTGCTTTCTGATTCCACTCACAGTTCTGCATAAAAGGCGCGCTTCACAGCAAAACACAGCTGAGATGGATCAGTGTGGGGTTGTGGGTCCTCGCGGCCTGTGTCTGTGGAGCGTAGCCGCGTCATTTCGGTCCCCGTATACCCTAAACCCTAAACCCCTAAACCCCTAAACCCCTAAACCCTGAACCCTAAACCCTAAACCCGGAGGCCTTACCCTCCCTTACCGTTCTGTCGGAACGCTCGGCTGGGGGGCCTCGGTCAGAGCCTCAGGCGCACACGCAAACGGTCAGCGGCGCTCTCGGCAGCTTAGGTAGATTGCAGGGCGCAGGGTCAGTTTCTCAGTTTAGGGTTCAAGAGGTCAGGGCCCCCCCTAAACCTTAAACCCTAACCCCTAAAAGGACCTAAAGCCCTAAAACCTGAACCCTCAACCCCTAAAACCCTACAAACCCTAAACCCTAAAGACAGAGAGCCTGTGGGGTCTGGGTTTAGGGTTTAGGGTTTAGGGTTTAGGGTTTAGGGTTTAGGGTTTAGGGTTTAGGGTTTAGGGTTTAGGGTTTAGGGTTTGGTTGTTGGCCCCCCTTGGAGGCTCCAGGAAAGCTGAGAGCTCAGCACTCATACTCTGTGTTCTTGTTAGGGGATTTTATGGGTTTAGGGCTTAGGGTTTTGGGTTTAGGGTTTTTGGCTTTAGGGTTTAGGGTTTAGGGTTTACATCCCGTATTTCGGGGATCGGGCTTTTTTGGATCTGGTTGGTGGGTCGGGAACCCCTTCGCGGTCCAAAGGAAGATGAAGCGTTTGGACAGGACAGAGGGGCCCTATGAAGCAGAGGAGGGTTCCTACGGTTGATGATATGAATAATAAGGAATGTACCCATAATTCCCATAGTTTAGGTAATGCAGGATTCATATCATCAACAGTATTTCAAGGGTATATAACGGCTACGATAAGGGGTATCATAAGAGTTTAAGGTAGGTGCCATCATAACTAGATGCGGTTTGGGGTTTATCTGCTAGCATATGCAAATTTTGTTAGGTGTTCAGGCCGCTGTATTACCTTTACTGGGATTAGGGCAGCGTTGGGGTTTAGAGTTGACGGCAGCGAAAACAAAGGTTTCCTGGGTTTGGAAGGACAGGAGATTGAATGCACGGGCTCGGCTACAGTTAGGAATACGCTTCTTTCAGCAGCATGTCGGCTCATCCGCCCATGCTACACACCCTCACCTTCTTGGAACTTAGAAAAGCGGATGGTAAGCACAGTAAACACAACTTCTTCGGCTTATAACAAAAACCTCGGCAACCTTAGCCAAAATAGCCGTACCTATGCCCAACTTGAACCTGGCCAGAACCCTCCAGCAAGACCCTGCAAAACATCCTCCAAATTCAATCGGACTCGAAAAGTCTCGTTAGGCCCAGCGTCCACCGGGACGGGCACAGTGGGCTCTGTTCGGCTGGAGATGTTGTACCGCAGCTGGCGCCTGACAGGGTATCCACCTCATAAAAGCCTTCGAACCCGTGGAAAATGCTTGCAACACGCTTTAAACACCCTATGAAACCCTGAACACAAGAAACCTGTGACACCCATGTAGAGAGAGAGAGAGAAAAAAAAAAAAAGAAACAACATTGAGATAAGTGCCTTGCATGTCCAATTGACTCCACCCTACGAACAACCGGAAGGCCTGCAACATTGCAACCTGCCTCCGTAGGTTTAAGATCTTCAGAGTTTGAATAGGTTCTGGGTAAATTATACGACAACCATATCAGGCCTGTTAGGGGTAAGCTCTAAGTCTGGAAGCCCCAAGACCCTGAGGAAAAACGCTCCAAACCCACATGAACCCCATAGAAACGCACTTCTAAAAACACGCCACAAAACCCAACAAAAAGCACACACAAGCCACCGAAAAACCCTCTAGAGCGCTGGGCCCACCCTAAACCCTAAACCCTAAGCCAAGCTGCTGGATGGGACTCCGGCAGCTGTTGAAGGCCGGGGGCACCGCCTGAAGCGAAGCGGAAGGAGCCGCGCGAGCTGCGATCGACTTCACCTGCTGTCAAGCTTTCGGGCTTCGGGTTCCGGGCTTAGGGGTTAAGGGGGGGATTTAAGTTCAGGGTTTAGGGGTTAAGGGGCGGGATTCAAGTTCAGGGTTTAGGGGTTTAGGGTTTAGGGTATTATTGGGTTTTACCATAACATAAATGTAAAATTGTAGCCGACAAAACCCCAGACTAGTAGGTAAGCAGGTCCCTGTTCACTGACGCAACAAGCAAAATGTGTGATCTTAGGCTCCGCCCCTCGGAGCGAGGAGGACTTCGCGCAAGCGATTCACTTAGGGGCTTAGGGCTACGGTTTAGGGTTTAGGGTTTAGGGTTTAGGGTTTACGGGCTTAGGGCTTTCTGCGCTGCAGGGTTTGTGGCTCTGAGGTTTGGGGGGCAGGTATACAAGCAGAGAAGTAGAGCTTCTCATATGGGTTTGAGTGTCTGCATACATGCATACATGCATACATACTTACTTACTTACTTGCTTACTTACATACATACTTACACGTTTACGTACATACATACATACCTGCATACATTCATTCATTCATTCATTCATTCATTCATTTCATTCATGCAGACATGCATACCTCCCTAAACCCCAAACCCGGTTAACTACTTGGGAAGATTGGTCAGATGGAATTAAAGACTTCCGACAGCAGGGGCCCCACTGATTGCAATGGGGTTTGGCTGTACATTATCGTATTCATTCATTGTAATTTAAGAGGATACTACTACGTAGTACGACGAACGAACTATTTGGACGTCTATACTTTTCTGAACCTTAAACCCTAAACCCTAAACCCTCTGCCCGACGTGCCGCAATGAGGTCCTGAAACTCTGCCATGCATGGACTATGCTATGCAGGTGCCACAGGAAACCTTGGCAACATCTGCGGGCTACGAGAGTTGCCCTACTTGGGGCTTCGGACCTTAAGCTGATTGCATGGGCCTCATACGTTTTTTGTGTTTAGGGTTTAGGGTTTAGGGTTTAGGGTAGGCTGGCAGTGTTTCATGCGCGGGGCGCTGACAGCACCCCGCAGACAGCTCCCCAAACCCTACCTTTGGTTAGTAGGGAATGGAAGAATGGTAGTAATAGTAGTTATAATTGTACCCCATTCCTCCATTCCCTACCAACCAAA